CCTCTCTGGCTCTGGGTTACCTCATCTATAAAATGAGATTCTATAATCTACTCAAGGAACATTTACTAAGTGCCTGCAATAGTCCCATAAAGGTCTAATACTATTCTCAGTCTTTCAAAGAAAAAAAAAAATTTGGTGAAACTCATGTCTATGTTTCCCCACAGGGGAACTGGATTAATGAATCGGTATGCTTCTATGTCCAAATACATCTTTTAACAAAGTGAATTTGATTTGTAATTTTAAATCATTATGATTTCATTTGTTTATGAAGAGAAATCACATCTTACAGGAATTTCTAAATGAAAATGACACTTACTTAAAACAGTTTTCTTCATAGATAACATTCCATATCTTCCAAGCATCTGGTCCCTTGTAACCCGTGTAGCGCTCAGGATTAAGGAGCAAATCTACATATTCAGCATCAGGTGACTGAATGTCTGTAAAATATTAATAAAAATGTTTCATTGAATCTTCTTCATCTTCAGTTGCCTTGAAAAGCTAGATACAAGACTATGTTCAATTGATTCTAAGGCACCAGAAATGTGTTACAACAACGCATCAGGGATTTTAAAACAACTTTTCAGGAAAAAGAAAGGAAGGAAAAGAGGGAGAAACAAACTCAGCCCCATTAACTGTACACACTGGCTACAAAAACATTCTGATTTTACAAATGGTAAAAATAGAAATATATAAATTTTAGAATCGAAGAAATATGGTAATTCAATTCTCATAAGCTATCCAGGCATAGAATATAACATCCATTACCTTTCGCATTAACCACAGCAGTTCATCAGTAACTAAGGTAAATGAAGAAGTGTTAGTATTGTACACTGCTTGTTGCTAATCACCTTCTTCTTAGAAGACCACCATCAGGATCCACTACCAAGCTGTCCTAAAGATGTAATACTAAATATGCAAACGTTATATGCAGAATGATTTTGTGTAAGCATTATTTATAAAAGGGAAAATTGGAAGCAACTTAAATGACCCCACATAGCAGAGTAAGTTAGACCCATGGGCTCTGGAGCCCAATACCTACTCATTTACAATGTATTATAACCTCCAGTGGTTTTAGGAAATTATTTAATACTACAGCAATACCTTACTCATATATAAAACTTGACAATATGAACCAATGAAGAATGAGGAAGTGAGCAAAAATGGCCTCAAAGCAACCAAAGTAGATGACAAAAATCTGAGCACTGAGGTGCCTATAAGAGAGTCCATCCAGCTCTTAACAATACTTATTATTCAAAAACAAACAAAAAAAAAACCCTAAGCTCGGTTATTTTTACTCTAATTCATAGTATATTAGAGGCATAAATTAGAGGGAAAGTTGCTTCTAGAGGCAGCACAATGACAGCATCTAGAAATAATAGTATCCAATGCAGATAGAAAAAGTAAATATAAGAACTAGAACTAGAAAAAGTAAATAGAGAAAGTAAATATAAGAACTTAAAAAACAACTCAGCAAGGAATCATCTAGTTCAGAGACTGACAACTGTTCATGTCAACTAATACCAAAGGTAATTGCCACAGTATAGTAAATTATAATAAATTCATTTTTAAAAACCCTGATTTTTAAAATATATAAATAATGCTCAGTATACAGTACTTTAAGACAGCAAACTAACCATCAAGAAATAATTAAATTTTTTAATATTCTACCTAGAGATAAACATTTGTTGCCTCATAATTTTACTTACTACAAATACTTCATCTCTCTTCAACCTTATTTAAAAAATGTTACTATAAGCATATTTTGCCACATGACAAAAGCTCAAATTTCCAATTAGGATTTATAAAATACCTTCTGCATTTCACATACCACTTATGTACATTATTTATTCCTCATAAAGCTGTCCTTTTAAAAAATATTCACCCTCCTTTAACAGAAAAAACTTTATAATACAAATGGGCAAGTGATTCACCAAAGTCCCCCACATAAGAAGTGAGTTATTGGTTTCTCAGTTGGTGCTACACATTGTAGAGTCTCAAAAGGACACTTTGTTAATGGAAGTTAAAGTATCATCATCCTTTTTCTAACACTGCAAGCCTAAAAAAAATTTGCTCTGTGTTATAAATTTAGTTTTATTTCATAAAACAATGTTTAAGTCCAAAAAATCCTTGCAGAAAAGATGGCAAAATAAAGGGGTTGGGAGAATATTTTATTCCCTTCCTTTACTAGTCTAAATCTTCGTATAGGGCTATAATCCCTCATCCGACACCCCTGGGAACACGTGTGCTTTGGAATTGAGAACTTTTCAGATTGCACAAAGGTAATACAATTTATCCAACATATATTGAATATGACTCCAACAGGGCCTGGGGCAGCAAACTTTAATAAAACATAAATATTTCTGCAGTGAAACACATGAATATTCACACTAAATGGGTCTGTGCTAAACTTAGGGGGGAAATGTTCATTTTTCAGAGTTTTCAGATTTTAGAATTATAAATAAGGGATTATAGATATGTACATGCCAAAACACAGTCACGGTTTCCATTAAGGAAAGCTCCCCCGCCAAAAGAAGCCACAGAATTAAAAATACATATTTTCTCTTTTTCTTTCTCTTTTCTGCGGATTGCAGGCTTCATCTTTTGCTTGTAATTAAAATAATCTGTATTATTCTTTTCACTAATTTTTTGAAAGACCATTAATCTACTACAAAAGACCCATAGAATACCAAAACTCAATTTGATTTGATTTTGTTTAGCTAAGAGGCTAACAATTCAACTTAGAAAATGGGAGATACTAGAAAAAGAAGAATGGGAACATGCGTAAGTCTTGATCAAAGAGTTTCAATGGATTCCAGGGCTCCTAGATTTTAACAGCACCTGCCCTCTGCTTAGCTTTAGATGTCACAGACGTGACTCATGGCTTAATATTCTCTTCTCCAAAAGCAACAGGGACCAACATTAAGGAAATACATAACAATCCAACAGCAATATAACAGAAGCAGGTTTTTGTAATCCCTGTGTTATAGCTGTTTATGTAAAATGCATGTGTATACAAAATTATATAAACTACTAGATATACAGAACTGTAAAACACGAGGTTTTCCAGAAACTGAGTTTTCTTTTTAAGGGTTTTTTTATTGTGGTAAAATATATATAACAAAATTTACCAGTTTAATCATATTTAAGTGTACAATTAAGTGGCATTAATTACATTCACGATGTTGTACAACCCTTACCGTTATCTGTTTCTAAAACTTTTCCATCACCCCAAACAGAAACTCTGTAACCATTTGGCAATAATGTCCTGCCCCACCTCCAATCTCTGGTAACCTTTAAGCTACTTTCTGTCTGTAAGAATTTGTCTGTTCTAGATATTTCATGTAAGTGTAATCATACAATACTTATCCTTTTGTGCCTGGCTTACTTCACTTAGCATGTTTTCAAGGTGCATGCATGTTAAGCAAATATCAGAACTTCATTCCTTTTTATGGCGGAATAGTATTCGACTGTAAGTATATACCACATTTTGTTCATCCATTCATCTTGTGACGGACAAATGGGTTGTTTCTACCTTTCGGCTGGTGTGAATATGCTGTAATGAACACTGGTGTACCAGTATCTGTTTGAGTCCCTATCTCTAATTCTTTTGAGTATATACCTAGGAATGGAGCTGTTACGTCATATGGTAATTCTATATTTAGCTTTTTGAAGGATTGCCGAACTATTAGAAACCGAGTTTTTTAAAATAATTTAAACTTTTTTCCTTAGGTATAATTTCAAACATAATGCATATATAAAAAAATGTTATACCATCAGCTTCACAGAAGTTGTCTGAAGAATCATCATGTTTGGTCCACTGAAGAACAGCCTTCTGTGTCTCCTCACTTCAAACAAGAAAATAATGTTACTCTTTTTTTAAGTTAACATGTGACATTAAAAAACATAAATTACTGCTGGAAAAAACCAAAATCAAACCTCAGAGATTCATCCACTGCTCCAAGTCGTTCGGCTTGTTCACATTCTTCAAGGAGATTATTGGCTTCTTCGGAATACTAAAATGAAAAAGGGAATAAATAGCATATAATTTATCATATTTTTAAAACTTTTTTTTTTAAATGAGAAGTTATTTGAGGCTCTTTTTGTACCTGGTACCATCACCTTGGCATCCGAACTTAAAAAAAAGAACAAAAAAAACTAAGCTCTCACATTCCTCCTGAAGCTAAAAAATAAGTAAAGGGCTTTGCGTCATGTTTTTGTTGGAGAACATAATTTATTACTATGTTCACAAAATAAAGAATAGAGTTCTAATAACTAATTACCAAAATGTCCACTAAGAAAATCTTTAAGGTATAAAGAAGTCATGAGGCAAACAGTCAAGAGGCATTGTCCCACTTTTCTCACGACTTAACTGTGAGCATCAGTTTTCTCTTCCATAAAATAAGTGGTTGGACTAGATCACATGTGCCTAAGGTCTATCACATGCCATAATTCTAAGAACACTCTGGAAACTACCAAGTCTTATAAAAAGTATTCCAACATCTTTAGGTTCTTAAAATATCTCCTTTAACAACCACATTTCTTCTCCATGTCTAAGTCGCTGTGTGTATATATATTCTACTAGATCTGTACATGGCACAGGGAGGTGAGAGTGGTTCAGGGAATTTCACAACACATCAGTCATCACCATCATACAGCTGGAAGACAACACTGGAATTCGCAGGCCACAAATTCACTCAACGAATATTTATTAAGTGCCTATTGTAGCCTTATTGTTAAGATGACCATACAATTGACTGTCCAAACTAGGACACTAAAATAATTGAACACTAAAATAACTGAAATCATATAATTTTTAAAGGGAATACTAAAATAAATAAAGTGTTATAA